TTAAAACGTTAAAAAAAAGTAAAACGTTTAACTTAACTTAGTATATAGTTTAGTTCGTATTAGTTATAGTACACTTCGGTTCGTTCTCTCTCTCTCTCTCTCTCTCTCCCCCTGTTTGTGTGGTAAGACTTGTTGAGAAGTGAATTCTCCTCCCTCTCTTTGTAGATGAGAAGCCTCTCTCTCTCTCTCTCTCAGGGTAGATGTCAACACCGTTGGAGGTTTTTCCCTTGTTCTACTCTGAAACACACCTCAAATAGTAGGTCAATACCCTTATCGATAGTTTCCCGTATCTTGTTATTGTTTCTTCACAAAAGGAAACCGGAAAATTTGAATATATAATCACTTTTTCATGGTTACAGAACTCCCCACAATCCACTTATAAGATAGATATATGGATCTTGCTGAAATATATATACTCAATTTCTATGTTTAGTGATCTCCATTTTAATTTTGCAGTACGACTGGAACTCGGGATCCAATAACATCTGCTCTGCAAATTGTCCTTGGCAAACGGAAGTGTCTTGATATTGCTCAAGTTGTTAGGTGGAAAGCCAGTGCATCATCCAAGGAGGAGCCTTCCGTACACTATGCAGCTTCTTTTGCAGGGTTATCCCTCTGTTGTCTTCTAACTATCTCTTTCTTGTTGCTAGTATTAATTTTTGGTCCTGACATCTCACAATTCAACCCATTTCACAAACAGCTACGGATTTTATGGAGATGTCGTTAAGGAGAGCGAAAAATGCCGTTGGATGGGTCCTGCTCGTTATGATTATGCGGGGACAAAAGTGTTTATGAAGAACAGGTGCACATCTTCAACAGAGGTAGAATGTCATAGTCCATTGAGATCATGGCCCTCTGATGAAATGATTGGCAGCTCTGGAGAGAGTGGGGAGCGTCGCTATAAGACATAGATTCAATGGTTGGTCCCATGTTTTCTCCTTCACTGTCACTTCATCAGGGTTTCCTGGACTCAATGGACACCAGTCTTTTTATCGTACATTGGAATGTAGTATATCTCCTCCCCCCCACACCCAAGGACTCCGTATTAGTCCATGTCTTCTTTGTTGCCTCCTACTATAGTACCTATGCGTGCAGGTCATATCAAGCTGAGGTGGCCTTTTTGGATGTACAAGAATCAAGAGTATTCCCCGGGCCCAATTGCATCCAAGATAGTGGAGAAGGGATTAATCTATCAAAAAATCCAAAGTTAATTTGCCAAGTGAACTGTCCCATTTGCATTGATGCTAGGCCTCCTCCACAAGTGCCATCTATACATAGTTCTTTTAAGTTATCCTCCCATCATGGAGAGAACTCGAGATGGTTAAGATCAAAGGGCCGCTTTATAAGTGTGGGGGCAGCTATTATCTCATGCCGTAATGAACGAGCACCGGATGGGGTAGTGGTAGATGCTCACCTCGCCGATGGTTTCTTGCATCTCATACTTATCAAGGACTGTCCCCGTCCTTTATATTTGTGGTAAAGTTTGCTGAACTCCTTGCTTATTATGTGTATCTGTACAGACAAGAACAGATTCAGTTGAGATTTGATCATTCATTTACTCTGAAATTTAATTGTTGATTATAGTATATGTTCTTGGCAAGGTGCTGTCTTTTAGATACCATAGCTTATATAATTTTGTTGATGAAACCAATTGAGCATGCTTTATTCTCTGATCAATGCTTAATCGACTTGTGTGGGATTCTACCTATGCACAGCAGTAAAAACACATATTGAGGGGTTCTACTTGTTTCCTCCAATTAATGCATTTTGACTGTCTATCTTGAGAAGTAAAGCCTTATCATGTATGGGCAACTCCATTCTTTGTATAAATAGTGAAGTTCTATGACCAATATTTGGATTTAATAGTTAATTGTCAAATGGAATATTTATTTTTTTAGCTTTTGTTTGGTCAGGCACCTTATACATCTTGCAAGGAAGGGTGCTGATCCGTTGGATTTTGATTTTGTAGAACATCATAAGGTATGATCTTACTTCACATGGCAAGCATCTTTTGGCATGCCTGATTTGCTTTGTGATTTTATTTGCTACTTACTTTGAACTCGGATGGTGTGCTCCTGCGGGACCATATTATATACTTATAGAAGACCTACTCAGGAGTATTTTCTCAATCCAAAATTTTGAAATCTACTTAAGAATTACTAAATGATTATTTGAAGGAAAAAAGGGGGGATTTTGAGTTTCTAATCTCTTGGATCCGACTTTCCAAAAATTTGACGTATGTTATAGTCTCAAGCACATATTTTCTTATGTTGAGGTTAATCTTTATGTTGGGGAGGTTGCAACCCCCGAAATTTGGGGTCTTAAAGGTACTTCTAGATACCCCCGAGAGCATATAATATTTTCACTTGAGTTTTTCGGTAAACTCAGATATAAGGAAACGTATATAATAAAATCATTTACTTTTGATCTCGAATATTGTGACGTACTTCAATCTGACGGATTTCACATCCAATGGTTAAGAGTGATTGTAATCTCCTTGTACCAAAAGTGAGTATTAGTATACAATCCCTTGCAACTACCGTTAAGAAAGAGAGAATGATTTTGAGGTCAACATTGGCTTTTAAAAGAGGCAGAGGGCTGATACAATGCTGTAATACTAGTCTTTGGGATTGATGGTGGGGGCATAAATTTATAATTAATGTTTCTCCTTTTCTTTTTCTTTGGGTTTCTTATGTTTAATTGTTTGGTAATTTTTCTTCTTTGAATTTGCAGACAACTGCATTTACTTTTATTTCTTCTGGTGAGGAAAGTGTGTGGAACTTGGATGGTGAGCTCTTCCAAGCACATCAGCTCTCTGCCCAAGTATTCAGAGGTTTAATAAGTCTTTTTGCATCTGGACCTGACGTTTAAAGTTGTATTTATAGAGAATTTATAAATTTGGGCAGCTGATCAGGCCTTGTATGCAAAATTTTGGTAACTTCTGTTTCTGAGTATAGAAAAATAAAATGGATCCACCATTTTAGAGAGAGATAGATCCTCCATTTCAGAGTAAAATTGATATGCTATTTTACATACACAGATTGAGCATTCCATTTGATTCATGTTTTTTGAGCAATAGGTTTATGAAATGAGACTGAAATGGTAGGTTTTGAAAAGAAACGGATCAGATGGCAGATATTTTTGTGACTGAAATGGAGATTTTGAGCAAGAAATAGATAAAATGGCGGATTTAGAGCAGAGTTTTTGAGAGAGAAATGGCTGAAGGTGAGAGAGAAGAGCATGGGCAGTTCTGATTTTCAATTGAAAATTGCCCAGTCCGCTACAGGAATTGGGTGATTTTCGGAATATAGGTGCAAGGCACCAATTCAGGGCATCCGGAGATGGTGGCAGCTGGATTCGATGTCAGGTCAGATGATTTCTATCCGAGGGGATTTTCCAATCACTGAGTCGTTCACAAATACAACGTTCTCACTGTTGTTTCCTACAGCGCTGGCACATCATACCAGCACAACAGCCTAATGGCTGGAGTCTTATCATTCCTCAGCTCAGTGTCAGTTTTCTTTTACAGATTTAAGTGTAGTAACAACAAACCCCAGTTGTCCCTTCTTGAAATCTGATGGCTTGGCTTACTCTGCAGCAGAGTAGGAAATTTCAATGAACACATTCAATATTACTTTTTCTTCTTTGTCCCCAAGACTATACTGATTTCCAACCATTACTAAAAAGCATATTACAATCATGAGTTTGCATACCATGCTTCCAGCTCCCATGGGAGGACATCGTATACCTACTCCCTCAAGAAGACCTGCTTGGGAGAAATTTTCAATCTAAAATTTTGAGAACCACCTAATTATTTGAATTTTGATTTTTTAACACCTAGATGGCACCCTCCAAAAAATGGACCTTCTGTTAAATCTTCAGGCATGATTTTTTTTTTTGTTTTTTTTTTTTGGGACCGCATGGAGAATGCGAATTTGAGAACTCGTTTAATTGAGGTTACCTTGTGATTGAATACATTCGCACATTTTAGAGTCATAAAATTCGGCAAGCTTTCTATGCTTCCCCTACAGCATAGAAGTTCTATCTTCCCTTTTATCCAACCTTCCATGCTATCGGAGGGCTAAGATTGCCCCAATCATAATGTCATGTCTCCATTATTTTTTTTTTAATTTTTTTTATAAAATATTTTGACATCAAATTTTGGATGTCCAATTCCTCTATTAAACTCGCACTAGCAAAAAATGTAAAAAAATATTTTCAATAAAATAAAATGATCAAAATACCCTTGAAAGTTTCAAGGGGTATTTTTTCATTACATTTTATCGAAAAATTATTTTTAATATTTTTTGTTGGTGCGCCGCAATGAGAAGATAGTACGTACCAAATTTCATATTCATACAATTTATATAAAAAAAACTAAAAATAAAATACTTTGAGGCGTTGGATCTAAAGATCAAACAATGAGTGGCTTTCTTGATCAAAATTGGACGGTTGGATGGTAAGGGAAAGATAGAACTTATATGTTCTAGGCAGC